TGTTTTAAACTAAGAATTTAATCAGGGACAGCAAGAGGGTAAGAAATATGACATCTTAAATGTTTGAGGAAATGAAGATGTTTACACTGATTGGACAGTACACAATGCAGACATGTACAGAAAGATCACATAGAGGGCCGGCGCTGTGGTGCAGAGGGTTAACACCCTGGCCTGAAGCACTGGCATCCCATATGGGTGCCGGTTCGAGAACCGGCTGCTCCTCTTTTGATCCAGCTCTCCGCCATGGCCTTGGAAAGCAATAGAAGATGGCCCAAGTGCTTGGGCCCCTGCACCCACCAGGGAGATCCAGAAGAAGCTCCTGGCTCCTGGCTTCGGCTCGGCGCAGCTCCGGCCATTGCAGCCAAATGGGAAGTGAACCATTAGATGAAAGACCTCTCTCTCTCTCTCTCTCTGTGCCTCTCCTCTCTCTGTATAATTCTGACTTTCAAATAAATCTAAAAAAAAGAAAGATCACATATACCCCATCAATGTGTTCAATATTGATGTGTCAGTTCAGAAAGTTTTTAAATTCATAGTATTTATTTTAGAGACAGTCAGAGTTCTCATGGTCTGGTTCACTTTCCAAATGCCCACAACTGTCGGAATGAGGATAGGCTAAGGCTCAAAGCCAGGAACTCAATCCAAGTCTCCCACATAGATTGCAGGAACCCAGCTCCCCAAGTCATTACCTGCTGCCTCTCAGAACATGCATTAGAAGAAAGCTAGATCGTTTCTCGGCCTTTTGGCTAAGATCAAATGTAAAAGAAACCTGGAATCAGGCACAAAGATGGGACTCAATGCAGACACTCTGAAATGGGATGCAGGTGTTCCAACCTATACCAAATAAAATGTCCATGCCATCAGTGAAAATTTTTTAAAATAAATATGTAGCTGACATTGTGGTATAGTAGGTAAATCTGCCACTGCAACACTAGCATCACATATGGGCACCAGCTTGTGTCCCAGCTGCACCACTCTCAATCTAGCTCCCTATTAGTGGCCTGGGAAGAACAGCAAAAGGCCCAAGTGTTTGGGCCCCTACCACCTACTTGGGAGGCCTGGGTGAGCCTCCTGGCTCCTGACTTTAACCTGGCCCAGTGCTGTGGTTGTGACCACCTGGGGAGTGAACCAGCAGATGAAAGATTGCTCTTTCCGTGTCTCTACTTCTCTTTCCCTCTGTAACTCTGACTTCCAAATAAACAAAATGTTTTCTTAAAAAAAGTAAATCAGACATCTTGAACAATACATGGAATATTCCACATCAAATTTGGTCTGTAGTATCACAACTCATAATCTTAGAAAATGTGAAAGACCCAGTCTGTGATTGGCGGTAATTAAGTAGTGTGGTACATGGGTCTCCATGAATATTAGATTCTTTTCTGATAGAAAAAATTCAGAAGATTGAGGAGCAGTAAAACAGGGAAGAAGTAATCCTATTTTTACATCTCATCCAAATATGAAGATCACATTGGAAAACCTGCATAAGGAATAAAGTATTAAATTACTTTCACGGTATATGAACATCATGGTCACTGCTAGTCTGTCATAATACTCTTTAAGAGATGTTTTATTTCAGTACTTTAGATGTCAGCTCCTGGATGATAACAGCCTACAAAACATCAGCATGAATTATACATGAAAAGATCACAAAATCCTGAATGAAACAAGGAGAGGTTGACAAAGTTTGGCTTCTTAGATGTAGAATTAAAATGAAGCATGATTTTTAAAAATTCTTCAGATACAGAAGCTCCAGTTCTGTAAAGGAGTAAGAAAAATCCCTCTAATGTAATTATCATAACAAAACAGGAATGCAGGAAAATGGGAGGGGAGAGGAGCCTGAGCTGAGCAATTTTACTTCTGCAACTGATTTTCTTGATTTGCAGAGGGAATAAGCAAGCCAGCCTCATAGCCAATGTCTTAATCATTCATTCATGAATGCGTGTGCCTACCACGTGGTAGCACTATAGGGAACAAGACAAAGATGTTCCCATGCTCTCGTCTTCATGAAGATTGCTTAATGGTAGAAGAGACAAGCAACAGCGTTGTTGCACAGCAAGTGCCACTGCCTACAGTGCCAGCATCCCCTATAAGCACCTGTTTGAGTCTCAGCTGCTCCACTTCCAATCTGGCTCCCTGATAATACAACTGGGACAACATCAGCAGGTGGGCCAAGGGCTTGGGCCCCTGTGACCCACATGGTAGACCTGGATAGAGTTCCTGGTTCTGGCTTTGGCCCGGCAGAGCCTTGGCTGTTGTCACCATTTGGGAAGTGAACCAGCGGATAGAAGATCTCTCCTCTGTCTCTCACCCTCTCTCTGTAATTCTGCCTTTCAAATAAATCTTTTTAAATAAATATATAAATAAAAAAGAAAAGATGGGAGAAAAGGAAATATATTTGTAAAGTAGGGCTCACCAACCAAGTTTGAGAGCGCACATAAAATAAATAATTACAACCTTGTTCTTGTTCACAGGAGCAAGAACAATTCCCATTAGTGACACAAGTGGTCACTTTGTGATCTTTATTATGCATACGTCTTCACTTGACAGAGGTATTTTTTTTTTTTTTGACAGGCAGAGTTAGACAGTGAGAGAGAGAGACAGAGAGAAAGGTCTTCCTTCCGTTGGCTCACCCCTCAAATGGCTGCTGCAGCCGGCGCACTGCACTGATCTGAAGCCAGGAGCCAAGTGCTTCCTCCTGGTCTCCCATGCGGGTGCAGGGCCCAAGCACCTGGGCCATCCTCCACTGCCTTCCCAGGCCACAGCAGAGAGCTGGACTGGAAGAGGAGCAATCGGGACAGAATCCAGCACCCCAACTGGGACCAGAACCCGGGGTGCCGGTGCCACAGGCAGAGGATTAGCCAAGTGAGCCGCGGCACTGGCCAACAGAGGTATTTTTTTAACAACAGACCCTGAAAAAGTCACATTTCATTGATAAAGCTAGCTATGGATATAAAAGCAAAATGAAAGAACAAGAATAACTGTCCATGCCAAGTACTTAGGAAGCTGAGATTCTCTAGATATTTCCCTGATATGCCTACAGGTCAGAACCAAACAGAATCTACGTTTACAAGGACATATGTACGTAGACATTCAGCACAGCCTAGGAAGTGTAATAAATCTACTGTCTGTGCTATAGAACATGGCTGACAATGTGTCCCTAACACAGCAAGCTTCATTCCTTACTTGGTCCCTTGATGCTCTCCTTGTCTTTGTCATGAGATGAAGAAAAGCATGCAAGTAGAGAGTGAACCAGCAGATGGAAGATCTTTCTCTCTCTGCTTCTGCCTCTCTGTAACTCTTTCAAATAAATAAATGAATCTTAAAAAAAATAAAAATAAGGAAAGCATAATAAATTCATGATTGACTATTACTATGAACCAATGACTGTGGTAAGTTTATATACTTCCCGGCGCCGCGGCTCACTAGGCTAATCCTCCACCTTGCGGCACAGGCACACCGGGTTCTAGTCCCGGTCGGGGCACCGGATTCTGTCCTGGTTGCCCCTCTTCCAGGCCAGCTCTCTGCTGTGGCCAGGGAGTGCAGAGGAGGATGGCCCAAGTGCTTGGGTCCTGCACCCCATGGGAGACCAGGAGAAGTACCTGGCTCCAGCCATCGGATCAGCACGGTGCGGCGGCCGCAGCACGCTGTCTGCGGCAGCCATTGGAGGGTGAACCAACGGCAAAGGAAGACCTTCCTCTCTGTCTCCCTCTCTCACTGTCCACTCTGCCTGTCCCAAAAGTTTATATACTTCAACAACCTAACAAGATAAATGTTAGATAAGATTTTAAAATTGGATAATATTTAAATTATTTAAGATTTTTTGATTTAATGCTATAACTAGTTCTCAAACAGTATTTTTCACTTTGTGTTTCTATGTGGGTGCAAACTGTTGAAATCTTTACTTAATATATGCTAAACTGATCTTCTGTATATAAAGAGAATTGAAAATGAATCTTGATGTGAATGGAAGGGGGGAGGGAGAGGGAAAGGGGAGGGTTTCGGGTGGGAGGGAAGTTATGGGGGATGGGGGAGCCATTGTAATCCATAAGCTGTACTTTGGAAATTTATATTCATTAAATAAAAGTTTAAAAAAAAGATTTTTAAGGGTATCCTTAAAATGAAACTTTAAAGCCTGAAATGCATTGGCTGTCTTATCTAATAGTTTTAATATTTATTTTGTGACAAATATTACAAAAAACTTTTTTTCATTTTGCATTATATTGTATGCACTGAGGATGCATCTGAAACATCTTTTTATTGGATGTTCAAATATACACTGCTTCAAACAAATTGATTTTCATAAATAATTTGGTTTTGATTTTGACATTGACATTGCTTTTACTAATACAAATTTCAGATGTGTTTGTGATTTCAAGTCAAAATATTTCACATAAATGTACATTTCTTCCTCTTTGCATTTCTCTTTAAAGTATTTGCCAAGTTAATGAATAATCTAGACACTGGAAAACTCCACACTATTATTGGATAGCATTCTACTAACAAAATTCAGATCTTCTAGGAAAGTTAACAGTAATACTAGGAATTACAGGTCAAAATTACCAAGTAGGGACTTACTTTCTCGACAAAACTTATTTCTTGGAATTCCATTCATGGTACTTGTATATAATGTAAAGCTATGTAAACATACCTCATTTATAAAGATAACTCACTGTGGGGCCGGCTCTGTGGCACAGCACGTTAAGCCCTGGTCTGCAGTACCAGCATCCCATACGGGCACTGGTTCGAGTCTTGACTGCTCCTCTTCTGATCTAGCTGTCTGCTATGGCCTGGGAAAGTAGTAGAAGATGGCCTAAATTTTTGGGCCCCTGCACCTGCATGGGAGGCCTGGAAGAAGTTCCTGGCTCCTGGCTTCAGATCAACGTAGCTCCAGCTGTTGCAGCCATCTGGGGAGTGAACCAGTGGATAAAAGACTTTTCTCTCTCTCTCTGCCTCTCCATAACTCTGCCTTTCAAATAAATAAAATAAATCTTTACCCTCACCCCTGTTGAGGTTGATTTCTTCTGAGAGGAGAAGCGTGGTGGGGGCAAGAGGCTCGGAGTCACCACGCAGACCCCAGGAGTCAGGTGAAAGCGAGCCAGAGGCGAGCAGCCCACAGACTAGTTTCTTTCAGTTGGTACAGCGGCTTAAATAGCCAAGGCAGCCAATCCAGTCAAGGGGCAGTTTATGCCCTAACCAATCACAGCCTGTTGCCAGGCAGTATCCGTTTGCCATGTGGTTTCCAAAGCCATCTAATCACAGCCTGTTGCCAGGCAGGCTCTGTTGCCAGGTGGTTTCCCAAGGGGTTTCCCAGGGGGTTTCCGAAGCCACTCCTGAGTAACTGAGGCTCGCTTGCCAGCGGACATCTTGGCATGGCCTTCTCATTCCACTACACCCCCCACCCCGAAAAAAAGATAACTCACTGTAAGAAAGAAGTAGCTCACAAACACCCATTTATAAAAGCATGGCCCAGGCACAAATAATATTTAACCATATCATTTTCTCCTATGTGTGGCTTTTCCAGTCCCCAGACACATCATTAATTTTTAAAAATTATTTATTTATTTGGAAAGTTAGAGTTACAGAGAGAGAGAAGGAGACACAGAGAGAGAGGTTTTCCATTACTAGTTCCCTCCCCAAATGGCTAAAATGGCTGGGGCTGGGCCAGGCCAAAGCCAGGAGCCAAGAGCTTCATCTGGGACTCCCATGTGGTTTCATGGTCCCAAGGACTTGGGCAGTCCTCTGATGTTTTACCCAGGTCCATTAGCAGGGAATTGGATTGGAAGTGGAACAGCCAGACTCAAACAAGTGCCACAGCTCCAACCCCCAAACTTCATTTTTGTCTGCATTTGTCAACCTCTCCTACTCTTCTTTGACTTGACATCAGTGGATTCCTTCAAATCAGTAGCATCTCTATGTTGATTGCTGTTCATTAATTCTTTCAAGCGCTTTTTTCCTTAAGCACTAGAAAACTTGCCTACAAAATATCTTTCTTCACAGAGGCAAACACATTAGCAGTGGCACATTCTCACCTTACATTTAGAGGTGCAGATGTTTTATGTAAAGGCAAACATATATGCTTATGAGGTAAAATGAGGTTAACCCATGGCCTGCAACGTGGAGACTGCTGAATGGCAGTACAGGTGCCTGATTGAACTTCTCCACGAATCCCTAAATTTGCAATGATTGTTGAGCTCAGGGTCCATGTTGTGCTCTGATATTTAATTATGGAAAGTTCATGCTCCTTCACATTCACCTTTATACAAAGGCCCTAGGAAAGTTATCAGCAATTGGTTGAGTTACTGAACAGCAAATCACCCAAAGTGTTAAAGCACAAATGTGCATTCCTAGGGCCTTTCTTTAAATGTATGTTTTCTATAGGCTAAAGAGAGAAGATGTGCAATTGACTCAAAAAAGGCTTAATTCTCCGTTTTATTTTGGACTGAGAGAGAACAAAGGAGGCATCAAACACGTGCTTTTAAACAATCAACAGGGCTGTACATAAAAGGAAACCAAAGGGGGAAAAAAAAAGAATAGTGCTTTAACTGGAGAAAATAGCAGAAGAAAGTAGATCAGTAGAAATACGTAAATGGGTGGAGGATGATCATTCTCTATGACGAAATTCTCACAGAGTTAAGGATTTCCAAGTGGAAAGGGACTGGATAATAATAATGCTGGAAGGCCAAGAGAGCCACAGAACTGTGCTAGAGCAAATTGTATGTGGGTGTGTGGGTGTGTGGGTGTAGGTGTGTGTGCGTGTGTGAAGGTCATCATTTATTCTTAGGAAAATACCTGTTATCAGTGCTGAGTACTCTACTATAGGAAAGAAGGATCATGGAGACCACACAGTTATGGATTGAATATGTCCCCCCAAAATTAATATGCTGAAGCCCTGATCTCCAAAGTGACTGTATTTGCTGAAGGGCCCTGAAGGAACATACCTAGGTGAAATGAGGTCTTAAGAGTAGGGTCCTGGGGCTGGCGCCATGGCTCACTTGGTTAATCCTCCACCTGCGGCGCCGCCATCCCATATGGGTGCTGGGCTCTAGTCCCAATTGCTCCTCTTCCAGTCCAGCTCTCTGCTATGGCCTGGAAAAGTAGTAGAGGAGGCCCAAGTTCTTGGGCTCCTGCACCCACATGGGAGACTTGGAGGAAGCACCTGGCTCCTGGCTTCGGATGGGCGCAGCTCCGCCCGTTGCGGCCATTTGGAGAGTGAACCAGCGGAAGGAAGACCTTTCTCTCTGTCTCTCTCTCTCTCATTGTCTGTAACTCTACCTCTCAAATAAATAAATAAAATCTTTAAAAAAAAAATAGAGTAGGGTCCTAATCTGACAGGGCAGGTGTCTGTAAGAAGAGGAAGAGGCCCCAAACATCTGTAGGATGCTTTTGCTTATGTAACTTTTACTTGTAGTTAGATGAGCTTAATACAAAGTAAGGTAAAAAGATAGAAAATTTTCTCTCTGGATCACTTCAAAACTAAGATCAAATTAATTCATAGGCCTTATGCGTTATGATTTATGGCGTATTGGAGGGAAAGAGATCTCTGCATTATTTATCATCAGTCTTCTTCCTCTCCAGTCAAATGATACTAGCAAATTTATTTTTTACAATACACTCATTGGCCTGACCACCACAGCTTGCACAATTCAAATAAGCTGCCACACACAGAGAATGAGTCAACCAAGTGAAACACTGGTGAAAATAAGAAGATGCTTCATAAATATTGGGAGACTTGAACGTACTATGACCACAAGAAGAAAGATCCAGTTTGTTGTGACTTCAATTTCTCCAATGAAATGAAGGACTGACTTACTAAGAAATTCTAATTAGTCCTTTTTAGATTTTTGATGTTAGAGTATTACAAAGAAGATGAATCTGAACTAAAAGTTCTAACTCTGTCACTTATAGTATGTTGTTTTGGGAAATTACTAAATGTCTAGGAGTTCCAGATCTGTTACCCACAAAATTAGTTACTTAATGATAGTAACCATCTCACAGCCTTAGTGGGAATATCAAGTTAATGCCTGGCAAGTCTCTAACACAAAGTAATGGCTCAGGAAACGTTATATATTATTGCTAATACTTTTATCTTGGCTTTATGCTGGTGTAAATAGTAAAACACTATCTAGTGAGCTAGGTTGGAGAGGTAGGGGAAGAGAAACAGGAAGAGGAGCATCCGGCACTAGGCAGCCACATACTATTACTGTATTAAGTGCTGTCACATACATCATTCTATTTTTTATTTTATGTATCTATTATTCACAATTTTATAGAATAGGTACAAATTTCTCTACAGACGATAAATATATTTGAAAAGAAGTGTGAAAACACTAAGCATTTTACTTAGGTCAACACAGGTAGTAATTAGTGACTCTAAGATCAAGTATAGGCAATTTGACTCCAGGGTCTGAATCTTGATTACAATCAAATGAAAAATATTTCAACAATATTCAAGTTAAAAATAGAGGAAGAATTCTCAGGTAAGGAACACTGTGGCTTGGGGGTCTTCTGGGGCAACATCAGAGGCACTCTTAAAAGCTGTCAGAGACTGAATTGTCCATCTCATGACCATGGATCTAGAGGCAGGAACTGTGCCAGAAGACCCATGAAAGTACAATCAGAGGTCTGATATTTTCCTGACCTTCATATCTCATTCTACCCACTAACTACAAGGACTTTTCCTCAGGATTGACCCCTGAACTTGGAAGTGAATTTTTCAAGGGAGTTAAGACAATGTGCATATAAGCATTCCCTTGAATTCTTGAAGCTAGAAAAGAAAGACAGCAACATGGTCTGCTCCCTCCTGGGGGAAAATCTATCCATCTGTGTTTCACTTTGGTCATTTTCTTTCATTTTCATTCTACTTCACCCCAGCTGGCAAGAAAAAGTGAGCCTGAAAATTACTTTTTCCTGAAGTTGCTAGAAATTCTTGTTCTCTTATTCATCATTGTGTGGTGACTCTTGTCCTTGCTATTGGATTAAAAGATCTGAGACTTAGGGGTAAACAATTTAGACAGTATCTCTAGTGGTAGGTGTGAGTTGAACTCAAGCGACAATATTTTCCGAATCCCAAATTATATCACAATGGGTCACAATTAGATCACATAGATTACTGATGCCATAAACAAGAGTGTCAATTTGTTAAGTCAACAACAGGAGTCACTGTGCACTTACTCCTCATGTAGGATCTTTGTCCTTAGTGTGCTGTACATTGAGATTTAATGCTATAACTAGTACTCAAACAGTATTTTTCACTTTAAGTTTCTGTGTGGGAGCAAACTGTTGAAATCTTTACTTAATGTATACTAAACTGATCTTCTGTATATTAAGAGAATCGAAAATGAATCTTGATGTGAATGGAAGGGGAGAGGGATTGGGAAAGGGGAGGGTTGCTGGTGGGAGGGACGTTATGGGGGGGAGCCATTGTAATCCATAAGCTGTACTTTGGAAATTTATATTCATTAAATAAAAGTTAAAAAAAAAAACAATTAGATCACATAATATGTTTTGGTTGTAGACCTCAGAACTTCTACTAGGATGGTCAAAATAAATTCTCCATGTGGATCAATATAAATTGTTAAAGTTCTACATTAGGTTTTGGGGTCAAGGCTGGAGCATAATGAACAATGTTCCAGGCCCAGCACTGTGGCATAGTAAGTTAAGCCTCCACCTGCAGTGCTGGCATCCCATATGGGCACCATTTCATGCCCGGGCTGTTCCTCTTAAGGTCCAGCTCTCTGCTAATTACCTGGGAAAGCAGTGGAAGATAACCCAAGTACTTGGGCTCCTGTACTTACTTGGAGACCTGGAAGAAATTCCTGGATCCTGGCTTCAGATCAGCCAAGTTACAGCCATTGCAGCCATTTGGGAAGTGAACCAGAGGATGAAAGACCTTTCTTTCTGTCTCTCCCTCTCTCTGTAACTCTGCCTCTCAAATAAATAAATAAAAATCTTTAATTAAAAAATGCTCTTAGGTTCTACTATTTTATTCTATGAATATGTTATTTCCTTTGGAGACTACTTATGGTTAAACTTAAATAATATCCCAAGGTTATGGGTCAAAGACTCTTTGAGTCAAATATAATTTGCACCCTCTTATCCCATGGTGTTTATATTTCTCACAAATTAAAGAGCTCACATATCT